GTTTCTACACTGCAAGATTACAGACCAACTATGGAAAATCTTTATTAGTCTTAGGGGTATTTCGTGGTCAATGCCATACAGGATTAAAGATGTCAGTTATAGCTGGGAGGAAGCTGGAGCTGAAGCAACGAGCAGAGATAGATGGAGAACCGTTCCGGCATGTATTTGGTGGACAGTCTGGAGGGAAAGGAATACTAGATGTTTTGAAGACAAAAGCAATTCAATGCAGAAGATTAAACTCAATTGTATTCTTCTATTTTGTTTTTGGTGCAAACAGATGTACACAGAAGATACATTGACAATCATAGACATACTAGGATCCTGCTAGGTCTCAAATTAGAATATCTATAAATTCTCTCTATGTAAATTTGGTTTTCAGTGCAACCTATGTACTGATTTTTATTATATATACAATAGTTACCAATTCAAAAAAAAAGAACACCAATGTAAGCAGATCAATCAATCAACTATGCCCTACTCTAAGTGTGGTACACATAGATTATAAATAAAATGAGATAAATGAAACCACTACAGTGTACCTTGATCCTTGAAGCAAGAACATTACCCTGTCCTCGACCTTTGATTGGCTCAAAAATCTTTTCAACATCTGCATGTCTAACGGCTTCCCAATTGACAGAATCCCTATTTTTTTCGGTAAGAACACCAGATCTACCAGTAGAATAGGTTTTCCTCAATTCATCCCAATCAATTTCTCCTTTTGGGAATTCATCTTTCTTTCTCGATATTGTCTTGGGCAAATTGACCGCTTCATTTCCTAAATCACCACTCTTAGCGGTGATTATCACTTCTGAACTGCAAGAAGTGGCTGTAACCTGACTTCCACAAGTATGCTCAGCTATAATTTTCTCCTCTCGAGTTCCATCCGATCTCATTAATGTAGTCACCACTGTTAGTGGAGATTATCACTTCTGAACTGCAAGAAGTGGCTGTAACCTGACTTCCACAAGTATGCTCAGCTATAATTTTCTCCTCTCGAGTTCCATCCGATCTCATTAATGTAGTCACCACTGTTAGTGGAGATTATCACTCCTGAGCTGCATGAAGTGACTGTAACCTGACTTCCACAAGCATCCTCTCGAGTTCCATCCAATCTCTCATTAATGCAGTCACCACTGTTAGCAGAGATTATCACTTCTGAACTGCAAGAAGTGGCTATAAACTGACTTCCACAAGTATCCTCATTTATGCAGTCACCACTGTTAGCTGAGATTATCACTTCTGAGCTGCACAAAGCGACTGTAACATGACTTCCACAAGTATCCTCAGCTCTAATTTTTTCCTCTCGAGTTCCATCCAATCTCTCATTTATACAGTCACCACACTTAGTGGAGATTATCACTTCTGAGCTGCAAGAAGTGACTGTAACCTGACTTCCACAAGTATCCTCTCGAGTTCCATCTAATCTCTTATTTATGCAGTCACCACTCTCAGTGGAGATTCTCACTTCCGAGCTGCAAGAAGTGACTGTAACATGACTTCCATAAGTATCCTCAGCTATATTGTTTTCCTCTTGAGTTCCATCCAATCTCTCATTTATGCAGTCCCCCACGTGAGGTAAGTGGCTATATGATGTAGGCAAATATTCTGATGTATGTATACCATCTACAAAAGATAATTCATCTAAGCTTGACCTACATATGGACATTGCACTTCGAGAAGAACCAGCAAACCCAGGATCATTCTGATTGGCACAGACTTCTCTTTCAAATGAATCTCGCATTCCCTCTCCTATCATAAAAGCTTGTCCTTGCGGGGTAGTCATTTCTTGCTTATTTTGCGGTGGGAATGCTGAAGCAAGAAGCATGAAGGCAGTGCTGCATAGTGGGAGAAATAACATTATTTACACTCCAGGAATGAGAAAAATGGGTATGTAATACAATGAAGTTTACCTTGAAAGATTATCTGATACATTTTGTGTTAG